TTATTAAGCACAAGCTATGCATAGCCCTGGTCCTAGCCCTTCCTAACTTTGAGAAGATATTCGAGGTCGAATGTGATGCAAGTGGGGTGGGAGTAGCGCAGTTTTGTCTCAAGGGAAGAAACCAGTGGCCTTTTTCAGTGAAAAACTTAGTAAAGCTCGCTAAAAATGGAGTACTTACAAGCAGGAATTTTATACAGTGGTTTGTGTTTTGAAACAATGAGAGCACTACTTGGTGCAACGTGAATTTGTACTATGTACAGATCACCAGTCCTTGAAGTTTCTCAATAGTCAGAAATCCATGAGCAAGATGCATATAAGGTGGAGTACCTTCCTACAGAAATTCCCTTTTGTGATTAAACATAAATCAGGTACCCTTAATCCTATGGCGAATGCTTTAAGTTGAAGAGCAAATATGCTAGTTACTATGGCTCAAGAGGTTGTGGGATTTGAGTTCTTGAAGGAGCTGTATGAAGTTGATGAAGACTTTAAGGAGATTTGGTTCAAGTGTGTTTACAACCAACTTGCTGCAAATTTTCACCTCACTGATGATTATTTATTTAAGGGCCACAAATTTTGTATTCCTGAGACATCCTTGAGGGAGAAGCTAGTTCAAGATTTATATGGAGGCACCCTATGTGGACATTTGGGAAGAGACAACAATTGCTGGCATGGAGAAACGATATTATTGGCCACAATTGAAAAAGGACATGAGAAAAATCGTGCAAAAGTGCTACACTTGTCAAGTGTCTAAAGATCAATCTCAAAACACTGGTATTTACATGCCATTGCTTGTGCCTAATGATATCTGGTAGGACCTTTTCATGGACTTCGTGTTGGGACTCCCCCGTACACAAAGGGGAGTAAATTATGTTTTTGTTGTTGTTGACAGGTTTTCCAAGATGGCACGCTTCATTGCTGTAAGAAGACGATGATGCTACTAGCATAGCCAAATTATTTTTCAAGGAGGTTGTTCATTTGCATTGAGTACCCAAATCCATCACCTCTGATCATGACACTAAGTTCCTCAGTCACTTCTGAGTTACTTTATGGAAGATTTTGGAACCGCCTTTAATCGCACACCAAACTGATGGCCAAATAGAAGTTACTAACAGAACTTTGGGTAACATAATCTGTAGAATCTATGGAGATAAACCCAAATAGTGGGATAACGCACTACCTCAAGTGGAGTTTTCTTATAACAACGTTGTTCATAGTGCCATAGGAAAATCACCTTTCGCTTTGGTTTTCACTTCGGTTCCTAACCATGTGATTGATTTAGTGAAGCTACCTAAGAACCATGGTGTAAGTATCGCAATTGAGAATATGGCAGAAAATGTTTGGCCAGTGAAGAATGAGGTGAAGGAGAGGTTAGAGAAAACCAATGCTAAATACAAAGTCGACACAGACAAACATAGGCGAGTCAAGGTGTTCAATGAAGGTGACTCCATCATGGTCTATATGAAGAAGGAGAGGTTTCCAGTGGGTACTTATCACAAGTTACAGCCCCATAAATATTGTCCCTACAAGATTCTAAAGAAGATCAACGACAATGCTTATGTTGTGGACTTGCCCCTATCTATGGAGATATCAAGCACTTTTAATGTTGCTGACCTGTATGCATTTAATGAAGATGATCTGCTCTATCCTGAAGAAAACTCAGGGTCGAGTTCTTCCGAAGCGGAAGGGACTGATGTAGAACATATGACCGAGTTGATTGAGGAACAGATGGACAAGAGCGCACATAATCGCAACAGGAAAGCCCAATATGTGCAAGTATGGGCCACGAGCTCAGAATAGGACCCATGGCCTATCGTTTCGAAGAGAACGGCGTGACAAGTGCAGTGCATTGCTTTGCTGTGATGTATGAGCTATTTTAACCAAATTCTATTGTTTACTTTGACTTTTTAGCGTTTAAATTTTTTACAATATTTAGGGAAACTTTTATTATTTTCCTTCTTGTTTTCTAATTAGCTTTCATAGCAAGTTTAGGGTTTCTCATTAACTTTCCAAGCAAGTCTAGGGTAGTATAAAAGGAATGCATTGGAGCATCCTGGATCATTCATCTTATTTTCAATCAAT